TCTCAATACCAAAACATAATAGCAGGTATCAGAACCTATGTATTACATAATTGTAGCGTAGCGCCATACGTAGCGCTCGCATTAAGCGCTTCACTAGCCGAGTGATGAGTGACACGAGTGACGTCACGATGACGCGATGACCTCGATGTCACGCCCTCTTACCTCGCTTACTGCTCGTTACTGATGGATAGTGCATGGCCCTGCAGCGAACCAAATTTTAACAAAAATAGTTGACAACTTAAAATAATAATACAAATGCAACTTTATATGTATATATCTCTGTTCTTCGTCATCATCATCAGTCGGATTCCATTAAATGCTAGATATGGGATCCTGCAATTAAACCAACAACAACTACCAACTACCAGTTATCTTGTGGATATCTTAACTTCACCTATCAACTAGAGGGCGCCATGTAACGTTTGCCTAGATTCGGTCTCCTCATCAGTATACGTTTAGCCTAACGGTCACCAGTTCTTTTAACATAATTAATATAAACAAGTTGATTATTATATTCAGCGATGGTAGGTCATAGTAAATAAATATATTTGTTGTTGGGTGTTGTCAGTATTGTGTCACCTGCACTAGTGTCAGGTGTCGCGCTGCACAGCCTCGCGAGCTGTTGATTGTCTGAGTGCAGTGGAACATGCGTCTTTCATCTAGCTGTACAATACCATCTCGCGAACATCACATCACATCGCCTTCTACTCCTGTGACAATACGTTTGTTGAAACTTAAAAGTACCATTGTTTACTTTAATAAGTCAGCGCAAAGTTTGTGCCCTCGAGTTCAGTGCAGCTGACCCCGTGACCCCGGCAGGTCTGTATCGCCACATAAACAAAGCGTTGTTGGCGCTGGCCCACATTCGCGGGCAAACAGTAGCGACTGCCGACTGGCGGCTGGTGGCTAGCGAGCCCTTCTCGTTTTAGGGGCTAACACGGCTTTTTTAATTTAGACACTTCCAAATGCTATTTACTATTTTTACTACTACTATTTTTTTAAGTTCCCGATTGAGCATAGTATGGGATGTCGGTAGAATGCGCCCGATTATAATCGACCAAATAGGCGATATTCTGACAAATCGTCAAATTAAGAGCACCCACGATCGGCGAGCATGCATATAGAGATTGATGAATGTATGTATAAGAAGCAAGGGAGCTTTGTTGGAATCGTGTCAATTGGCGTGCCATTGTTTCTGTCCCAATGTTTGTATATAAGTTTGTATAAATTCCTTAAAATGCTTTAAAATATCAAATATAATCCAGGATGAAATAAAAGAACTATACAACAATCAGACTTGAATTTATTTCAGAACACTTCAACGGGAGACGGCAGTCACACTATTTATACCAAACTTCAACATACCTTTCTAATAACATAATATAGTACATTCACAGCAGTGCAAGGACACGACCCTACCTAGTGACAATGATGAAAACGTTTAAAACGATGTGGTTTACAGTTTACTAGGTGTTTGTTGCCATTCAATCACGTCCTGTATGTAGAGTTTAACTAGCGTAGGCTCGTAGCGCATCACGTCGCTACGCGCTACGCAGCTACGTAGCTACGTCGCTACTCGCTCGGTTAGCGATGATAATGTGTGACAGGTGACTTGTAGCTGCACTTTATATACAAAACAGTATTATTGCCTAAATGACATATTCGGCAAAATCTTTTGTTCTTAAAGAATATTATGAAACAATGAATTTATTTTTGCAAATAGGCCTTAAAATGGCACTTTTACACGTCAATTTATATGTGAAAAACTAGATAAAGCCGGTATTTCCTATCTGACTACTCTGAGAAGAATGCCGAAACAAACTCAGAGGTATTATATTATAGTACATGATTATCACTGTTGTTTTTTTAAATGTTGTAAAGGTAGTGCCACTTTATGTGTGCGCCCTGCCTCCATAAGGTTTTACGAGTATTAAAAGCCTGCTAACCGCGATAAGACACAGCTGGCCATTTAGTGGCCTTATTATATACCAACTTCACGTTGCTAGACATCTACGGTATACCTACACCATAAAGAAGCGGCTTTCAGCAATATAGCACGAACGTTCGCCATCCGCAGTATTAATTTAAGATAAGAATCAAATTGAATATAAAAGTAAATTAATGAGGGTACTTTATGATTGAATTAATGAACTTTGGTGAACCTCCCTCCGCGAATCCCTGGCTAAGTCGTTATGTACAGGACCAAATATAATATTCCAATAAAGAACTGGGAATGAACATGATTATGTATCCGTGTATGTTAGACTATGCATTGCATGCGTTTGAATCACTTTCTTGGTGGTAATCAGTGCGTGGCAGTGCTATACCACGCCCAATGTCTACAGTTATAAACTTTATGCTTATTTTAACTTCACAAAATTCGCTTTGACTCTCACGTAGCACTTGTGCCGTTTTGACACAAGTTTAGCTCCCGGCTCCCGACATTGGAGTGAGAAATTTATTCATTGGTTCATACTGCTACGATACATAAACTACGAGCGGCCAGAGCATTTACTTTTTGCACGGGACTATCAAGTAGCCGTTTTGTGAACATTATTTTTGTAACAACAATCGCATTAAAAATTTTAAATCAATTGTGTATTGTCCTTCACTGAGGCAGCCGTTCATTGCAAACTCTTAATAAAAAGTTTTACATCCCTATGCAATAAATGCATGGTTAAGAGGCAGAATAAACAAAGTAGCGACAACGCGGCGCATAACAAGCAGACATAAACGACATAAATCGGCAACCTGTCGCCCTCACCAGATGGCAGCACATGCTGCTACATTACTGCTGTACTTCTATGTTGATCTAATGACAATGGCCGATATATCAATGTAGTTATTTCACACAAAATTGGTAAAAATATACGAGTTGGTTGCTATCAAAGGCAAGAAGCAAAGAGAGTGGTTACTCTGAGCCCTCCTGTAAGTATCATCAGCCGTGCAGGGACAGGGTTGAACGATCACAAAGCGCCGCAAACAAACAAAAAGCACATTATTGCCGAGTGTAGGCCCCCAAACTGCAGACACGACCCTCGAACCGCGGCCTTACAATACTTACATGAAAGTAATAACACACTCCAACGTTCGAATGCGCGTGAAATGTGCACACAACTACTTGGATACCGCGAGGGAGCGAGCTGCAGACTCATTCTACAAAGACGCTTTGATATTTTGATTTGTATATACATACCTACATTTATCAAGTACTTCAAACTGTATACAAATGTTCAATGTCAAATGGCTGAACAGAAAACATTCCAACAAAAAACCATGGTTTTATTAATTCAATGCTCTTTTTATTATAAGTAAGTACAAACAACACTGTAGAACAGAAACATATAATATGTAATAATATGTAAAATATGCGAGAAGATAGTTCTGAAATGTATTCGTTTTGTAAGGACGATACGGAGATATTTCCATGCCGGGGGCGGTAGCGGGTGATGCCGGCTACACAGGCTACACAGGAGATTACTCCGGCGGCCGTTGTTCGCAGACAAACAGACGGACGGGGAATTAAAGTAAAACGACAGTGGGCTCCATCGGAGGATCCTACGCACGCAACAATGCGTCTGTGCCCAGACCCGCGCTGCCACGCTGCGGCCGCGACGCGACAGAAGTGCTGCGCGACATTATGCCAACACGACTGACGGAGTTGGTGTACAATTATACGCTCTCAGTTACTGTTGCTGAACATAACATTACACTGGAGCGCGTTAATAACTATCATCAAATGTCTTCTCCTGCCCAGGGTTGGGCGGCTGGTACATACGCAAGTGTTATGTTGTTATTTATTAAGGATTTTATGCATACAGCATGAAAAATGTTGCTCCAATCAACCTTTCGGTCGAGTAAAGAAATCAGCGAAAAATGGGTACGAAAAATATGTTTCATTGAATTAAATATTGAATAGGAAAAAAATAAATATAAAAAAAATTGAACGAGCGATATATTGCGTAGTATTCCCTCAATAAAATGTCATATAGTATACAATATATTATTATTTAGTAACACAGTAATGGTTGTGTTGTACGGAGTTGATGTTCTGTGTGCGCAGTGTAGATGGCGCGGCCGTGCGCCTGCAACCAGAATACATTTCCTGCTCCACAATAGATATTTTTTTCTCATTTGCAGCCTTCGGCGGTTTATGAATAACGTGTAATGACTTCTTTCGCTTAGTTAGTTCCTTTCCGTTGAAATGAAAACAATACTTTATACAGAAGCTTACGAGGATATTTTGTGGAGCCTTGTTTCTTGCCAAAAATGTTTTAAACCATATTTTGTGTTGAGTACCGCATCAGCCTATTATTGTTTGTTTTTTCAATGTTATATGAATAGCCAGGTTGTAGAAGTTAGTTTTTTGCGGGTGGGAGTATCAGTAGCGGTCTGTTGGCGCACGAGAGTATTCAAATCTAGTTGAGCCGTAAGTGGCGGCCGGATATCAGGGATCCAATCTATGCGATGGGCCCCGCGCGGCCGCCGGCGCCGCCTTACGTAACCCGCGGAGCGCGCCCGCGGGAACACTTGCTGCCAGTCGCTGCCTACCGTCGGTACCAGCGACATGTTTTCTTAAACACTTTTTTTTACAAATTCTAATAAAAAAATACGTTTTCCGTCAAACAGAAATGAATAACGACGTTTTAAGATTTAAATACAGTCATGACGTGCGCTATGCTTTGACTAGTCTATCATTATTTTTTAACAGGTCGTAGCTAGAGAAGATCTACATATTTGTTTGGAGATGTTGCAAATACTGAGTATCAGCACATTTGCGAGAACAAATACATGAAAGTGTGGTCCCCCGCGCGGTGTGTCGCCGCGGTCTGGTGTTACGTAAAGCACGGCTCAGTTTCACGCTCGGCTCGCTCTACTTCGTTCAGTCTCACTTCCTTTGATTGCTCCTTAAATTGAACATTTGAATACGAAATGTAAATAATCTGATTAAAGTACAGAAGCCGCGCATATTTGGTGTTTAAGCTGAACGTTTAATTGTGTCAACTCCCCCGCGTCGCGTCGCCGGCCGCGGCCGCTCTATTACAACCGCTGGCTTCTTGTTGCGCAGTAAATGGACCGACTCTGTTTGTGACGAATACAATACACAACGTTACTGACTTCTAAACCTTCCTGTAATATAACGATATATGACACCCAGACGTACATTTACGTACAAGTGTATTAGAAATGGGAAAAGTTCAGTAAAAATAAATGATATCTATCAAGGATAAAGTGCGGTATGAAGTCGTGGCATGTCCGGGCCGGGCGATGGCCGGACGATGGCTGGGAGATATTGGATCTCGATAGCGGTCGGGCCGGACTGATCCAAAGCCCGGCCGGCCTTCCGAATGAATTTCTTATCAACATTTCTATTACAGCCGGCGACTCCCAATGAGATCAATTTAACACGAACACTTTTAGGTTTTTTGGTCCGAATCTCCATGCAATATCAAACTACGCGACGAGAAGAAGTAATATCAGAAATAAAAGTTTGCGCACACAGACATTTTTACGTCAATCTATAATCTAAGAAATAATCTTCGTAAACTGTATGAAGCCTCAAGTGCTTGTTATGGTCGACGTTACAATAATTGGGCGCGTGCCATACGACGACGTCGTAAAGTAGTTGAGAGCAGTGTTTGTGTGTGTGTGTGTGTGTGTGAGAGAGTGTGTGTGTATGTGTGTGTACCCGGCACGTGTGCAGTGTGCCGCTGCCATTGCCTCAACAGGCGGCGTGATGCCGTGTACCACACTCTGATGCAGGGCTGACGGGCTTATCTATACATATGTATAATAATCATTAATAAGAACATAACAATTCCAAGTGTATCAGCATAATTTTGGCTATTGCTAAAGTTACGTACATTTAGCAAAGATGATGTTTGGTGTGCAAACCCTGACTGCGGGTGCTCTGTCGTAAAACCCAATGAAAGTTTCATAGCAATATATAATTACCAATAAATGTGAGCCAGTCATCACCGGCGATTATCTCGGTGCGTCTATAAGCAGGTAGCGACGACGGGATGTTTGAGTAACAACTTGTACTTTCTCATTACTACTAACTGTAATTTTGTAAATAATCTGTCGCGTTGGTATAAGGGTCGATATCATGACTGTTGTGCTAGCAGTTTGTGTGCAACATATAAAATATGCGGCGCTGCTGGACCAGCACAATCAAAGTGTAATTACAGACAACCGGCGTGAAACAACGCTGTATTTTGCCGTGTGAAAGAGGTCACCTAAAGCCACGATCTGCCTCCCGTAATCTCTCACACATTTCCAATTCTCAAATCTATTATTTTCCATTGCACTTGCTTGCGTCTAGTGCTCCGGTTGGCCATTGTCATTTTGTAACCTGCGAGTTTGCAACCACATCCCTTAAAAAATGAGCAGTTTTCTTGGATTACATGTATACGTTTCCAAATTTTTATTTTTATTTATTTATTTTAAAAAAGAAACGTTGCCCCACTTTAGGATTTTCTCCAGTGTTGTGGGTGCGTTTTCAGCAGTCAATTTGGAGCAGTAGCACAGAATATCTATGCCAAGTGTATGGCGAATATCGCGATAGGCTCAATCGCTGTTATATGGCGCTCATAACTAGTGAAATGTAGGTGTACGTCTCATTATGTTAACGTTGTATATGTACCTTTATTGCATACACAGTATCGGTACTAGGCCCCATATACCCTTCAAGCTGGTGGTTGAGTATATACGGCGCGCGGTACAGGCAGCGCGGGGGCGCGGGCCGCAGTGGCCGGGCGCGGCCTAATACTAGATAGTATCCTTTCACAGTGATTGGTGCGCCAGACGATAGCCCAGAGACGCACTGCAACATTGATATCACTACAAATTACTTTTCTGCATGAAGTCAAGATAACATAAACTGATCCTTTAATACAGATTGTGGTAGTGCACACGTTAGTTGTGAAGAAATTAATTCATAGTATGGCCAGATTTATAAGTACAATTATATTTCTACGTATTTTCTTTTAGCGTGCTAGATAAGGTTTCTTGGCTTTCCAAATGAAAGCCTAGAATAATTGCATACTTAAGGCTGACTATTGAATAGAGCGCGTGGGGTGCAGCCGGCCCTGTGGCGTACCCCGGTGGGGACAGTTCATGGAATAAGTTCGCTCCACCAGACGCGGCCATTGAATGCGGTAGACGATAGACTCGATAGAATGGATAGCTCTCGATATAGCCGCCACTCCTGTCCGTAGATAGCGTTCTATTGGGTTGGGGATGTATAACTAACTAATCATAAGCGTACATTAATACGTACTTTCTCTGTCCATGCATTTTTAAAGTACTACTTTTAATTCATTTTCGAGTACATTGATAGAAGGGATTTATTAGAGAAGCAGTGTATAACTCTTGCTCTATAATGCGGGACTTGTGACTGAAATGTTGGTGCAAAAAGGTAGAATACGTAGTGTGCATACAGTGCAGCCACAAGTAGTGCAGCCGCAGAATGTGACGCACAAGCCAGCCGTTAATTAGTGACAGCTCAGCTCTTATAACTTGCACAATTATCGAATGCTCAGTGTTCCCATTAACGTAGTCCTCGTGATGAGCGGCGCGTGATGTGTGACCGCATCGCGCCGGCATCGAACCCGGGACTAACCACTAATGAGTTTTGTGTAGTTCCTCCTAATTGACACTTCATGTACCAATTTCTGGATTAAATACAATAATGTGCGTATAACGGTATACATTGGCTTTACTATATGTATAATCGTATGGCAATGGCTAACACATGTGTTTGGGAATCGTTGAATAATAAACTTGTCCCATGACTAAAGTTTTTGAGAGTATTCCTTGAATTACACCCCAAGCTTTCTTCTACAAATACTAATTCTCGTATCTGCATCTATTCTGTGGTTGGTATGAAAGATCCGTCCGCATGTCCTCGTCAGTTCGTATGAGGTACAGGTCCGCACTAACAGTACGTCCGTCGCCTGTCCTCCCTCCACTTGTAACGTCGTAAGCGTTTAGTTTCCTCCGCTCCCTCGTAAACTCAAATAGGACAATGTTTTATGTGCGGACATTCATAACTCACACATCTGCCTCTCAAATCTAATACATCGTAGTAGGCATAAAACTGAAAGATATTGTTTGTTATCGTACTGCTATACATTTATATTTGTTTTATTATATGAGCCGAATGTGTTATCGTCTACAACGAATAACAAACTATATTTTTAAGCATAAGTGCTTTGGTACTCTTTGTTTACAAATAAAGTGTGTTTTGTGGAAATATTTCTCATAATTACATTCGGATACGGAACTCTCATTGCGCAATTTTGTGCATTTAATTCTTTGACTAACGTTAATTCTTAGATAGTCATTTGATAGTGTGTGCTAGTCGCGAGCGCTACGCAGTGACTTATTTAAATGGTTTGTCGTTCCCAGCAGTGGCGGCGCTATTATTTATGAGGTCCCTGCCTCTGTCGCTAATACTCCCCGAGCAAGAGAATAAAACACTCGAGCGGGTCCACACGAAACTTTTCCAATAAAATGTCCCAAGTAGCCGAGTTACCTACTTGTCAGGAAGAAACGCTTACCGACGTGAACGCCCGACCACTGAAAGGTGACCCTCGGCCGGTGTCAACCCCTTCACGACTCATTCAACACACGCTTTACTCGGTCCTTTATTATGGACCTACTGTGACTGGTCACTCAATTATGATGCTATTAAAATTTTATTATTATTGATTTTACAAGAATTTCTGTGTTATTGTAACAGTTTGTTTTTCATTAAAAGTGAACAGATTGATTTTGGCATAAAATTCTACCAATGACACCATTATATGTGGTAATTCGAAAGTTATATTTATTAACGTAAATTATTTGAACAAGTTCTCCTAAAACGCAGATCTTCCATCTTGCCGCCATTAATTAATTGTCGGCTGGGAATACATCTATACGTCGTTTTTGCACGCGAAGATCTGAAGCTCGAGATCTGTATTGTGTCACTGCTTAAGACTACGTTAAGTAGTGGACGGAAACGTGTAGACAATGCTAACAATACAATACTTGTAACCATTACACAATATATGTAGACAAACACGAGTGCTGAGTCGATGGAATCACATCGCTACATCGTTATCAAGTCGGGAGTGGCGCGGGGGCGCGGGGGCGCGGGGCACAACAATATGCTGATGGCGGAATGGCGCCGCAATCACTCGCGACCTAACCCTGTCGCGTAACTACTTATACTAAAGTAAAGTACAGAAAGTTCACGAAGGTTAATGAGAACATATCATGGCACTCCTTTCGCTCCCTGAAAGCAGTTGTAGAGGTGAAAAGCTCCTTTGACATTTTTGTATGTTTGCTGTAACAGGTTTCCGACGTTTATTTTATTGCTGTCTCTAGAAACGGGTGTATGTTGATGCACAGGCACATGCACATCACAGTTTCTGTTTACGTTCTGTTGTGTCTCTGCATGGACTGAACCTTCTGTCTCCCCCTCTTTGTCTCCAGACAGCTGGAGTGCACAAGGACGAGTGTTGCCCATTACATGAACAGTTTACCCCGATCCTCGATCGTTTGCTATTTCACTGCGCTCGCGATTCTCAGCACATTATCGTTGTTCGTATTTCCCTAGTTCCGGGGAGAATTATTATTGTTACTAGGATTAATTTGTTACGTGTACGCCTGGTTGAATAAAGATTTGATTGGTCATTTCATTATTGTTACAGAGAGATAAAAAAAATCCTCGCTCAGAATGTTGTGAACCATGTGACTTACTGATCTTTCAGGTATAGTGAAAATTATTATTTTACTTTATTATTTTTATTGCTTTACAAACAAAAAGTTTTAACAATTATAAAAAAACAAGTTAATGTGGTAAAATTATAATAAGAAAATGTTATTGGTGAAATTTAAGAAAGTCGGAAATGGAAATGGAAAATTAATTGTCATACAACATTCGAAGTTATAGAGGTTTTCACATATTCGTATAAACGAGAGTAAGCAGTAAGCAATAGTCAGACACCTGGTCGAGATTACATGTAATTAACATTAATGGCTTGATTGTTCTGTCCGGTCACGCACACACTCACCCTATAACAATTTATCTGAATACACTGCGAAGGAAGCTGTCCGGTCCGCAGTACACCGACCCAGTACTCGCCGCACAATACTTGGGCCTTTACATTGTAAATCAGATTTAATTTTGAAATAAACGTTCATAACTTTTCCCGTTGTTTAATTAAGGGCTGCCATTGATTGCGGCGCTCGCTTGAATAATGCATGAAGTCGCGCCTCCCGCGAATGTTGCGTTATTTGTATGTTAAACAGATGTCTTTAGATATCTTGTACAAGCTCCACTGGCATCATTTGCCGGCGGTACATTTGATATTGTAATTTACCACGGGAACTAATTGTTCAGGATACGACTTAACTCGGAAATGCTTAGATCGTGTTTTATTAGCATCATCAATCGTCGTAAAGTGGCTTTAATAAAGTTAGTCGTAATTTTTGAACAAATACCAATAAAATAGAATACTATAAAATGAGTGACCTAAAAAGTATGGCCGAAATTCGTATACCGGTTGAGCGCACCTCCAGTCTGTTCCTACTTGGGAGCCAAACGTCGCAAATGCAGCGTCTTATTTGTTTTTACCACTACGTTTCTAGGTATGCGTATTAGCATTATACAAAAGTATACGTAGAAGACGCTGTCCACTATCCATTAGTAAGGTATTGATACAGAGAGGGCGCCACCAGTCGGGTGCGCTCTCTGCGGCTCCAAACGATGACGGATGTCCCACAGCGACCCTTTGTCTTCCCCGAGCCTCTGCGTGTGATTGGTTGCGGGCTCCCGTTTTTGTTTTATGGTTCGTTCAACTCGCGTGAAATAAATCCCGTCCTGATCCCGTGCCTGTGTGATCCCGCACAGTAACACATCAGACTGTACTCACCTGCTTGTTCGTATTAAGTCGGTGTCACACGAGCTGTGTTGTATGTTGTGACAGCTAACCGGGCGCGCAGCTCATTACAAAACATTACAACAAGTTCCACTAACTCTATTACTTGTATATTACTTTAGTAGTTTCTATGTATCTAATAATGCAGAGCTTATAACAACTATTTGCTTATTTTTTAAGTCATCACACAGAACATCAACGTTTAGCGTCTGGTAATAACTGAGAGTTTTGGATTTTGCAACAACTAAGAAACTCACGACATAAAACCAAACAGTTATTATAAAATAATATAAAATGTTGTATAGCAGATAATAAAGAAAGAAAGACAATTCATTTACAAAATCATTTTTGCGTAAAACAACAACAAACACACTCTACATTCTCACAACTTTCACATTTATGATATTAGTACTATTTGCCCCCAAAACATATTATAATTTTTACAAAGTCGTATAATCCTACATTTTAAAGTTATTGAAATATTATATGTATACTTGAAAGTTTATAATAACTGGATACAAGTAGTTATAGTTGGTAGGCTGGGCGGGCGCTAGGGCGGCAGTCGAGCGCCGCGAGCCGGCCGGCGAGCACGCGCGCGTCGCCTCCCTCAGCTCGAGCACACCGGTAACTTCGGGAAAACTTACGAACTCTTCGATAACAACACCGTCATCTGTTAGTTCTCATTCATTTGGAAAAAATACTTTGGACTTTTATTAGTGTAAGTATACTCATTAGAATCTTGATTTAATTATTGTAGTGATTACGAAATTTGTAGAAAAAAATATATTTTGTAAATAAATGTTAAGTTTAGCCTTTTCAGATGATGTAAATAATTTGAATTTGTCATAAAGTCGATTAATAATTTACCGCGTTACAGTTTCAGCTGAAAACTTTTATATGAACTTTGTTAATGTATTTTTTGTCAAGAAAAGATTTTAAATTAATTAACGTCACACTACACTGCTTCTACCCTACACAATAGTATAGTAAATAAAAGTAGCACACTGCATAATAAAATTCGTTATCAAAATCTGAAAAAACGACTCCGGAAGATTCCAGTTTCTCCACAAATTCTCACAATTCCACAAGAGTCCGATTGCGTATTTCTGTTACATATTTTTTCAGTTGCAGGGCGGGATTGGAATTTGTTCCAATAAATTGTGATGGGCTCGCGTCCTATCGGGTGGACCCTTCTGTCGCTATCGGGAACTTGTGCCCCTTTTTCACCCGTTCGGGAATCAATGTTTGTAAATTACGTATTTTTTGTTTAACATTATTTAAACATTTCTTGGTGGGTACATTCTTCGTCGTATTACTACTATTTTTAATAGAAATTTATTAAATCGAGTTGTAAGCTGTTACTTTAAACTTTTAGTAAAGTTTCTACTTAAATCTACAATATTATGTAACTATACTTGTTATGTAAGTGACATTGATTGGTCTATGTTTGACTGATAGCTAAAGTTACTGTATCAAAGTGTGGGAGAGCCATGCTTCGGCACGAATGGGTCGGCTCGACCGGAGTGATACCACGGCCTCACAGAAAACGTGAGGCCGTGAAACAACCACAGCGTTGTGTTTCGCCGTGTGAGTGAGGTTAACGGAGGCCCAATCCTTCCCCACCCCCAATCCCTCCTCAATCCCTAAATCTCCAAATCCCTAATCCCTAAAAGGTCGGCAACGCACTCGTAACTCTTCCGTTGCGGGTGTCCATAGGCGGCGTTGATTACTTACCATCAGGTAATCCGTCTGCCCGTTTGCCGATCTATCACATAAAAAAAAAATCAGGTATTTCGGTTTGATTACCAAATAGAGCAAATTTTTACATGAACATATGTAATTAAATAACTGACGAAAGTACGTGTTGGATGTATTTTATACAATACAAGTGTTTCGTCGTGTAATAGTTACGGGAAGCCCAAACCTTTCTGTCCTCCACCCCTCTCTAAACCCTAAATCCCCAAAATCCCATATCCCCAAAAGGTCGGCAAATATGTGCAACGAAGCGCCTTCCTTACCATCAAGTAATCCGTCTGCTCATGTGCCATCAAAAACTAATAGTACCTATGCTTCCCCTACAAATCTCTAAGCAACTGAAAAATAACTCTTGACTAAATACGGAAATACGCTTAAATCTGATTGATCAAAACTCTGCAGCTACCAAATGGATACATCCAGCGGTTGGTAGCGAATATAATAAAGTTATTTCTTTAACAAAAATATTTTGTTAAAGAAAGGGTCGAGGCCATGCGGTGGACAAAACTGTAAACATCACCTATAGCACTCAAAATATGAATAAGGTACCTATCAATCAACTGACAACAGATTTCTACATTTAACTGTGCCTTCGTAAATACATTGGATCCGCCTATGTATTTATGTTGGATAATTATTTAATAAAAAAACTCTAGAGACATTACCCGCCGCCTGCGGCTGAGACATCAACTGGGCCCGGCCACGTGTCGAGGTGTTTGTATTACGATGTATTCTCCACTTCCGTGTTATCGTCGGATCACAATGTTCCCCATAAAACATAACACGAACCCGTGTTTTATTCACATAAATCTCCTTCGCCTGACGGATGAATAAAAGACGGAGGACTTCACAAGCGCGGCAAAGTATTCATCAAGGACTTTATGTCTTACCCCCAAGGGCTATATTCGAGCGGCGGGACCGCTCTGATAACGGTGTTGGCCAAAAGTTAGTCTGTTATTGCGTAACTTTTCCCATTGTAACGTGTCACTAGAGCCCCCCCCACCTCCCTCCCAGCGCTTACCTCGCCCCGCACATCTCAACCTGTCGTCTCAAGTAATTAGCTCGGGTACAGAATGACACAACTCAATGTTGTACTTTTCTCTTAAAGTAATTTAAGAAAAATAACCTCTCGCCTCTGCTCGCTGACATCGGAACTTTTACAGCCGTCGTCGTACTTGTGCCTGTATTTTTGTATTTACTTTTTTACTTTACTAGACATAAACAGAAGGAATTCCCTCTCGGTAAATATATCACTTTGCAGGCTTATGCTCGTGGAATTATACATTAAATTATCCAGTAACAATTTGTAATGTATGCGTTTGCAAATGATATAAAAAACTATTGAATCACAACTTGGCATCAAATACAGAGGCGCACACTATGAAGTGGTGTTTGCACAAAGTGTTAATACCTGCATCGATACTAGTAGGATAAAGCTTCGACTGATCGGTCATAACAGTGGTGGAGCGCAGGGCGGGCGGCGCGCACTTGTATATAAATACAGGATGAATGCGTCATTAGGAACAACTGCCGCTCGCAGCGTCAATTGTTATACTCTCCAGTGCGAGCAAATACTTAGCCATTGACTGGCTCCAGCGCTGCCAACGTAGCTGTAGACCTACTTGATGAAACAAATTGCATTTAATGATCATTATATGTGACAGGTCGGCAAACGAGCATACAGATGACCTGGTAAGCAGCAATCAGCGCTGCCCATAGACACTCGTAATATTAAGGAAGTACTCTTGTGCGGTTTAAGGATTTGAGGATTGAGAATTGTGCCTCCGGTAACCTCACTCACTCGACGAAAACAACGTGATTGTTGCTTCAC